CTATCGACTGGTATTATTTGAGGTTGGATGTCATAGTGTGGTTTGGGAACGGTAAGCTTTCAGATTTTGCCTCAAACGGTACATCATGGTAAACCTGATAGGAAGCTCTGATTTTTTCATAGATTTACGTCCCAAAGTCTCTAGTTTCAGAATCTGAAAATCGCGAGTCCCTAGCTCTTTTCCTTAAAAACTTATAAGCGTGCGAACTCGTCCGCCTTTTATTTGAAAACGGATAGTAGTCGGTGTTAAACATTACGCACATACCTGCTGTTCACAGGGTTCCTCGGTTCAAAGCTGATGTTGCAACTTTAGTTATTGACAAATCATGTTCTTTCTTTCGATAAAGTAAAAAAGATTTATGATTCAGTTTCTAAACTTATTTAAAAAGAAAAAAACGTTTTAAACAATGTTATTAACTCATTTTTCTTCTAATTTCTGATATATATTAATTGTCATATCTTCCTTCTTTTACTGTTTTCTTTTTATTGTTCGTTTCAAACGACTATGATTTGTTTGGTAGTTTATATCATTCGTTAGTAAATGGTATCTACAAAAGTGATAATTGTGATAATTGTACCAGATTGACAAAAATCCAAAGAAATACTCGTTACCGAACTAAGCACCTTTTTTGTGTGGATTAACCTATTGTTGGTCGCAAGGCTTTAGTTTTTTCGTCAACTAATATTTTGTTTTCGTTTTTAGACTTGCTAAACAAGAACAATCGCAAAAAGCAACAACATCAGGAAAGGAAGTAGACGACCGCCTGCTGGAAAAATAGCCCACTGTGACGTATAGAGCAATGAAACGGCTTCAATAAAAAATACAAACTAATTTTAATAATATTCGAGCTCTTTCCTTTCAAATGTATTCTTTCGTTGAAATTACAGAGAAACAATAAGAAAAAAGTGAAAACGAACGATTTGTTTTTGCAACGAATTTACCAAATATTAAAAATACGTGAAAATCGTTTTAATAATATTCGATTGATGCGATTAGGAAAATTACTTTACTGCAAAACCCATTTAAGGACTTTTTAGATTTTGAACAAAGAACGCACATTGTAACTAGGGTTTGTAACGGTTAAAGCGTGTTACAGTTTCCGATGCTTCGGTAACATTTTCTGATTTGTACCAGGTAATTACAAATAGGTAAAAAATCGCAAAATTTTACCTCGGTAAACTTCGGTAAAAAAGTATTTTACCGTTACCGCTCATTCCTAGCTGTGACCCCGTTTACTCGGAATTGTAGTACATAAACATAGAAAAACTTGCTTCGGGTATGGGTGTCAAAATGTGTGATGTTCCTAGCTAAAGTTTAAAAAAACAGAGTTTTTGGTCCAATATTTCCTCAGATTTTTGTAAAGTGGTCCATGTTTTCATTTATCTTAATGGGAGTTGACCGAATGAGCAAAAATTCCTGTTTGCGCCATTAAGAAATGCAGACGCTTGCCTTACATGGCATCGTAAGAACGTATTACACAAAAAGTTGGTTAGATGAAAAGCTATAGATACCTACACAGGAACAAACAGCTACAGAAAACAAGTCGATGTTAAACGAGTAGCTAGCAAAAACATTGCGAATAAAAATCAAAAAAAGAATCGAATTTTACTCGAGTGAGAGGAATCAGTTCTGTATGGTCACTACATACTCTCCTATGCAAAAATTTACTCCGATTTTGACGAACTGTACTCCTGCTTCGATGGTCTCGCCATACCACTGATTTGATGGAATGTCATAATAAGAGATCATTACAAGTTTTATTAATGTTTGCTGCTTGTTCAATTCTCAGTTTACCATTTTTTGATATATCATTATTACATAGGTTTAACCAAGTTAATATTCGATTTTGTTTCAACATTTCTGTTATAGCATTCACACTTTGATCTGTTATATCATCATTATTGCTAACAAGTAAATATTCTAGACTAGTGTTTATTAATAATGCTTGTGCCAATAATATCATTCCTATGTCTGTTACTTCATTTTGACTCAGATATAATTGTTTTATTTAAAATTAACATTTGCGACAATTCTCTGCAACCATCATCTATTATTTGGTTTGAAGATAAATCAATATATGAAATTGTTTTGTGTTTTAAATAATTGTGATATTAATTTTGTACCCGTGTCCATTAGTTGATTTTGTTCTAGATAAAGACGATCCAATGTGGTGTTTACTTATAATGCTACAATTAAATACTGAATACTGTCAGCTGTCATTTGATTATTTATCAAATTTTTCAGTCAAATCATCGGACTGTCTATATAATGAAGTTTCAACGATTTTTGAATGAAGTTTAGTTAACAAAAATGTCGTCTTTTAAAAAAACTAGCATTTTTTTTTAATCTTACCACAGATTGTGGCTGAATGAAGTTCACTGTAACGGAAAAATTTTGAGTAAAAATAGCGTTTTAAGTTTTTCAATATACTATATATTCTAGCAAAATTTATGTGGTAAGAATGAAATTTCATCAGTTCGGAGACTATTGATGAAATTTAATAATCAAAAAGTATTCAAAAACTTAAAACGCTATTTTTCTCAAAATTTTTCCGTTACAGTGAAAAAAGTATTAGCTGCGTGATCATTGAGTCGCTTTTTCCCGAGTTCTTCCTCATCACATCAGCAATATTTCGGCTTAACTCACATGTCATCGGGCGTCCTTTCACATGGAGGCAATAAAAGAAAGTGTCATAAAAAAGCAAAGGAAAGTTTCTTTATTGCTCCCCAAAACAGTCTGAAAGCACTTGACGATGAATTGAGAAAATCTTTGTTGATAATTCTGGACTGTTTTTGACAGGTAACGATATCGAGAAAATGACTAGTTGAATGTAGTACAATCAATGTATCTCATGGACAATAAATACTGTTCATCATTAAATACTGTTTTCACTTTACTCATAAAACATTATATTGTTAATCACTTTTGTCAATGATTGAAAATTTATTTTTTAAAAATATCCCCCCCTAATTGCAGTCAAGTATTGCTATAATATGTTAGTAGAATAGGTGGTTAAAAATTTAACGATGAAGAATAGAAGGCACAAAATTAATTGATTTTTATATTTGGTCCTACACGATCGATTTTCGCTTCAAAATATGATACATGTGGAATGTTGGCGTTTTGGATTAACTCTTTACACTTTAACGCATCTTCACTTGTTTTAGCTAAAGCAGTCAAGAATCCACCTCCACCGGCACCAGCTAATGTACAACCTAAAGAAAAATATATGTCAAAAGAATATCTTCTACTCATATTTGTACACTCTATCTACCACTAATATACGGTGTTAAAAGATCAATCAATCGACGACAAGTTTCTGGTTCAGCACCAGGTGCAACCATTAATTTTTGTTTCCAATATATTGACATACACTGGCCAACTTGGGTTATGTCACCTATAAAATAAGAGTACTTGATCATGAATAATCTCAATCATAATCAAATACACTAGAAACCTCTTTCAATAGCTTCAGAAGCCACCATTGCATTTTTCTCTAAATCATCAAATAAATTTTTCATGGTGATCGAACCAGAATACCAATTTCTTAAAACGCATTGTAATAAATTTCTTGCCAGCCGCGTTTGTCCCGTATATAACAAAATAAGACGTTCATCAAATCGATTCATTGTCTCATTTGATACTTGTAACTCTTTCCATTCGACATGTAATGGTAACTGTGGTCGACTCATTCCTAATTTAAATCCTGGTAATAGTCCACCCAATTGATCTTGCCATCCTCCGCCAGTCGTCATCATTTGTTCAACAACTAAAACACCATGGATAATCATATCATTTGTCACTAAATCCACACCTAATAAATGCCATAGTGCTAGTAAAATAGCACCGGCTAAAATTGAACTTGTGCCTAAAAAAAACAAAAAAAAGACTTGTTAATGGTAGAACGAAGAGAAATCAGCTGGTCATTGATACCTAAACCAGAACCGTAAGGTATATTAGACCATGCTTCCAGTATTAATCCATTTGTTGCTAAGAAATGTTTTTTCAATTGTTGTTCAAATGTTTCATCTGTAGTCAAATCAATAATGCCCGTAAATATGCAACATGTTTTTAATAGTGCACAAGGTATATGAGGCTGATTATAATCCTGAAAATCTGTCAATGATTTTAAAATATATCGTTTATCTTCTGTCTCACCAAACTCATTTCCTTTCAATACAAATGTGACAAACTGATTTGTATGATCTAATAATGCTCGAGCTCCAACAGGACGTTTATTATTTAATAAAATACCCACATTTACCACATGTCCACCGTGTTCATAACAAACAGGCGGTGTATCAGTCCAACCACCAGATAAATCCAATCGAGCTGAACATTCAACTAAAACCTCACGAATTAATTTCTTATCGTCAATCGATTTTATTACATTGTTACATCGTTGACGACATGTTAATACAGCTTGTTTTATTAATGTTTGAGTAGCACCTGAAAAACAAAATGAAAAAAACTAGATATAGATATAAATTGAATATCGATTATTTACCATCGTAATGTCTCGCAGCTCGGATAAGCAAATCAGGTCGATCTAACCATAAGTGTCGTTGTCGAATTAAATGTTGAACTGCTTGTAAATTATGTTGATTTTCTAATAAAACGAGTGCGTGTAACCAATCTTTATTTAAATAGGGTCCAGATCGGAGGCCAGCATTTTCTCCTGCCATATATGCTAATGCATTGGCTATTGCGGAAAATAGTTTTGATAATATTTTTATATTTTTCGAATACTCTAAACATGCTGTGTCCAATGTTTTCAGCAATTGATGCGAATAACCATCAAATATTGTCTGTTTTAACAATGGTAAATACGATTGATTATTAATTTTATCCAAAAGAATTTCAATTATTTTTTCACGTAATATAATATGATAAAGATCACGACGACGTTGTAATTCTTGTCGGATATTTGTATAATTCAAAATTTCTTCCAATGATAAACGCCTATAACAAATGAACGTTTCTTTTACGATGAAAAGGTGTGTGTGTGTGTGTGAAATGATGTCTTACATGGATGATTTCCATTGTTGAATGAAACCACCGCTTTGACCTTGACATAGCCATAATAGCGATTGTGTTAGAGTCAATTCTAATGCAAAGTTGAATATGGGATATAATTTAGCATTAAATAGTGTACATTTATCCGGAGAATTAGTATATATATCTGGCCATAAATCTGATTCATTAATTTTAGTTTGTTGAGAAAATGTTGTCCATGACATATTTAAAATTGTAAATTGTTCATGTCTGAATGATCGATCAACATTATCAATGGTACCCAATATTGTGTAAACATCAAGATGACTGGATGAAGTATTGCCTGTTTTTAAGCTCAAAATTGTTCGTTGAAGAATTATATTCGACGGAATAAATATACGAGATGGCTAAACGAAGAGAAATAACCAAAATTACCAACTCTTCTCATTTTTTTTCCATTTCTAAGATCTTTTTATTCAAAATAGTTTCAGATTCTCTGATTCCTTCTGATTTTCTCTTTTTTGCTAGCGAGTATAGAAAGAATATCTTTTTCACAAGTAGTTCGATCTGTTTCTTCAAAGAGGAAACAACAATCGTTTTTTTGACAGCGCAAGAGCAATTTTTACAGCAACAGTGACTCTGGGTACAAAAATATCGCCATCTTCAGCAGTAATTATGTCTAATGTCATGTATCAGGTCACACTGGCAACGGTCGTTTGAATATGTTTAAATTATTCATCATATAATATGTAATTAATCAATGACCAACGAAAATTTTCCTGGTGTAAGTATTTAAAATTATAGTCTAGAGGTTCTTACAGTTGACAACTATTGAAGTAACCGTAATGGTTCTCTGATTTCTTTTTATAAAGAATGTGACAAACCTCTTGAGAAAGATCAACACCTTTAATAAAACAGTTTTCTCCAATATGTATATTATTTCCAATAATTGAGTCTTGTATAACTACATTTTGATCAAAAACACTTTTTTTTTGTACAATAGAATTGATTATAATTGAATTTTTGCTTGTTAGACAATTCGTTTGAATTAGAGAATGTGTTATTTGATTCCATTCGATATCTGAACGTTTGGAATGAATATTCTCAAATAAATTCTGCTTATATTCTAACCAATCACTCTCAATATAACAAAAACTACTTTCAGGCAATATGCCTAAATGAAAAAAAATAAAAAATCTTTATAGAAGTATCTTTATATTTGAAAATGCATACCACAAGTCAATTTTGTTTTCTCATTTAATTGTGTCCATAAAAATGCTTTTGATTGTTTATTTTGATCTTCATTTTGATGATTAAATGCTAAATATCTATCGTATGTCACATCTGAACACGCTGCCATCAAAAAATCAAAATAAAGTGACAGCTCAAAACAAAATACATACGATATTTATATGTTAGAACAGACATGAGAAAATGTTACCTGATTAGGTTTTGAGCCACTATCAAGACCTTCGTATGTACAACCATCTAATGGAGGCATTGAATGAAATCCTAAATTAAATTTAAAAAAAAAAATTGTTTAACAGATCAGATATGATCTAAAACATTCATTATTCTTACCCAATAATTTTTCTCCGAAATTTGGAGAAAAATAGACAATACTAGAAACCTAAAAGAAGCAAAGTTTTATCTAATTATATTAAAATTTGAGGAAAATGTAACAGACAAAAAAGTTTACCTACGATTGGAACTTTATTGTCAACAGCAATTTTGTTCAGTTCAGCTATAGGAGCACGATATAATATATCAGTGATTATGTTCTATAGTAACATAAAACGAAATTTTTTGTTTTTTTTTGTATTTAATATAATATGTGGCTGTTTACGTTATTATTCAGTTTGTATGTTCCATGTTTGGATGCATAATCAACATTTTCCATTGTTGCAAATGCATGAATATCACTATCGCCAGGAATTTTTTGATCTGAATAAAAGATTAATAATATTAATAATGATAAAAAAAAAAATAATAATAAAAGTCATCCACCTTTCATTGTTAAAGTGATAAATGCATCTGTACTGGCAATCAGTATACCATAAAAAGTTTCATTTTCGACAACCTATAGAAGAAAAGTTCAAAATAGAAAAGAATGAATATTTCACTATTTTTAATTTCTTACCATTGAATTGAAATCATGTAAGAGTAAATCTAAATTCGTCCATAACCATGGACAATTTGAACTGAAACGAATTGGTAATGTAGCCATTAAACGATGACACGAATCATAAGGAAATGTTCGACCCTTTAAAAATAAAATAAAAAATCATAACAATAGTTTACTCTTTAACTCTTACGTACCGTATGTAATATAAGAATTTTTGCTTGCTGTAATACGTTAGAGTTGACCATCTGAATTGAACATAATTTTTTTGTAGATAAAATATCTATCTAAAAACGTAATGATGAGTACTTACAGAATATCCCGCTTTAGCACTCAATTGTTCTGCAGCTCTAAGTAAGGCATTTAATGTGGCACCACCACTACCAAGTTTTTCTGCAGAATCATCTACTGTTAAAATAGTGGTATTTTTATTTATTAAACCATATCGTTGACGCTGACGAAGTACTAAAATGTAAATTGTATATATTATACTTTCAATATAAAATTCTCTTATTACCTGAATAAAATGCATATGAACTTTCTCTGCTTGTTGACGTTATAACAATCACTGTCCAATAGGATTCTTGAGTTTTTTCTAATTCAAACTGAAAGAATAAGCAATAATTCATGTAGTAAACTATTTTAAAACTCATCATTTTCTTACCTGATTCGCTTGATTATTATCTAACTCTGTTTTTACCAGTTTTAGATTATCGTAATTATTCAAATGATTACAAGACAAACAGGTTGTTGGTGTAAACATCTAAAACGAATGAAATATGATGACAAGCATCTCATCTTACATCAATTTCTATAGTTTATAGTTAAAAAATAAAATTAGATAGTGAAATGTTGATACATCAAATTTAGCTAGCGTAAGAAAATTTTTTTGACAGACAGTCTATTTTAAAATAAACCATCGACAGACAGTTTCTTTTATGAAACATTTATGCGCGTACGCCAATATTTGTGAGATAATCGGAATTTGAAAGACTGTCTAGCAGTTATTTTGACAGATAGCTCATTAACTATGCGTACCCTAAACTAGCTGCTTAAAGCAGCGCTCAGTCCCTTACAGAGTGCCCAAATCTCCTGATGAAAATTCTCCTGATTTCAGGAGCTGATTTTTAAGATTTTCTCCTGGTTTCTCCTGATTTTCAATTGTTTTCCTGTATCGATTTTAGCGGCAGTTTGGACCAATAAAAAAGCGGAGAAAAGAGAACTAGCGTGCAATACAATCATGTTGCACAAAAAACCATGGTTTTTTGTGCAACATGATGTTTGTTCTCCATATTCACTTTGCTTTTTTTCTTATTGGTTTCTTGAAAAATAGTTGAGTCTGTTTTATTTATACTGTTAAATCAACAACTGGGAAAATACTCATAAAATAACCTACATATGATTATTTTTCTCTCCTTTTCTTTGTTTCGTTGTATGACAGACCTTCTCATTACTTGCTTGGTAGAAAAATAGTTAGTTTGGTAGAAAAAATCCAAGGGGGTGCATGGGGGTGCTGAGCACCCCCACCGACTTTTTCCTCCTTCTTTTCACCGACTTTACGCCACTATAGAAAAAAGTCACAAGCGTTTGTGGGAATGAAAATTTTCCTTGTCCAAGAAAAAACCGCGTGATACTCTGCTGTTTTTCTCCTGATTTCGAAAAAAATCTCCTGATCTTCCTTCTGATTTTTTAGAAAAAATCGCCTGATCAACTCCTAATTTTTTACGAAAAACTGGATTTGGGCACCCTGGTTCCTTACAGTCTACCGTATCAATTAATTGTGACACTTTTGTTGCACTCATAAAAAGGTTCGACAAATTTCTAATAGATCAAAACTTCCACAAAATCTCGCTGACAGTGACAAAATTCAGGACGGAAAGATAGGCTTCTAATGTGCTTTTTTTTAAAGTGAAGTTATAATTTTTTAATCTATATTTTCGAATAGGAAGCTCGACACATCCAATACGTACGGTATGCTATGTTGCACTAACTGGCTCAGTAAAACTTCCTAAGTCACTTGTTTAGTTTCTTATTATAATTGCTGTTACTTAATTTATTAATCAGCCTGTTTCACTGTCATGTCAATATCGAATTGCTATGTGGTATATATTTTTAGCAGGAAAAATGTGAAAAATGCGATAGTAAACTGCATCAGTATCTAGTTCTTCACAATACATCTCTGTCAATAATGCGTGTACGTTCACGTCGCTTCCGTAAATACGATGATACAACACTTAATAATTGATCCAAATATCGGACCAATAGCATGTTAGTATCGATCATTTGTTGATAGAGTGAAACATTAACGTAAATCTGCGAGGTTTTCTTTGATTATCTGGTACATTCATAATAAAAATTAGTCATCATTTATTTTAATAGATATGATTTTGTTGATCTCAGATAAGTGCTAAAATCGTCTGAAAATCTAAATCAATACAATGTATTTTCCAAGCTTTGTTAAGACCATCATAAGATCGTAATCAACATTACTAAAGACAACAAAAATTGATTAAGATCTTGTTATCAAGAACAAGAATTTTTAAAGAAATTCTGTAATCTGAACGATATAGTTTTTTGAATTTGTTTTCCTGTATAGTTTGTTTCAATTTTAAAAAAGGATAGTTTACAAGAAACAAGAACATTTATTTTTCACTGTGCTATATCTTAATAAAGCTTTTTTTGTTGTTTGTTTTTGCTTCTGACGTCTTTTGCTAACAGAGCAAATGCAAAAAAAGAAACATAAAATGTTTGCAAATAAAAAGTCCATTATTCAACACGTTTAACTTTTCATTTTTGTCATGAAAAATAACAAGCAATATTTTACTGTCAAGCAGAAAATCAAAAGAAAAAAAATGCAATGTAAACTAAAAACTGAAAAGCGTTTTAAACGCACCAGAAAAAAGTGGTTGACAAAAATGAAATAACAAACCAAGACAAAAACATTGGACTTATTCGTAGACCTTTATAAGCTGGCAAATCTAAAATATTTCAATCTGTCTTTCTTACATAAATGATGATAACAATCGATAAAGCGCCCTCCTTTCGCACCTAAGCAACTCTCATGAATCTCTTTCCTTCATTTCTACTTCTAAAACGTGTCTATTATATCAATGCACTGTCATACTTTGTTTTGCTGAGATTAACAAACATAACATGTGAAAAAAATAATAAATACAGAAATTCATTTAATCTATGTATGTAAAATAAAATAGGGAATCGACTCATTTGTTCAGAGATACTTTCAATAATACTATGCATATAACTTTTAGTTATTTAAAATGAAAGACATTCATACATACACATACAACATTTCCTATTTCATAACTTTATGGAAAGACCGACAAAAATATGCTTTCATCCGCAAAAACAAACATATACACACTCACACACATACAAGATCTAGAAAATATAATAAAAGCTATCCAACGTTTGATCCAACCTTGACTAGGTGTTCACCAGAATATTATCACAAAAGCACACTGAGTGCAAGAATACAAGAGAGAAAGAGAGAAAGAGAGAGAGAGAGAGAGAGAGAGAGAGAGAGAAATTTGATTGTATGGATAAAAAAAAAAAAAGTCGAAAATTTTTTAATTATTTGATAATGTTCACATGATTTTCTTTAGCTAAATGATGATTATTATTGTTGGTGTTTGTGTAAAATAGTTGATTTTCTAATATTGTAGGCTCATTGCATTCGGTACAGTTTTGACTTGTTAAACAATTTTGATGATGATGATCATCTGTTCTTGAATTATTAAATGAAACACATTCTTGTGATTTTATTGAATGAATTGAAAATTTTGGTAATAAATCGTACCATAATGTCTGCTGTTGTGACGTTGTGTACATGGATTGGTGAGGTGCAGAAACATCACAATCTTTATCAGAACGACAGGATAATGGTGATAAAAGTTCTTGCTTTAACTTCTTTTTAGATATATTCTCATTTATTATGGTGTCATTTTTCGAACGACGCTTGATAGATTCATCGTTCGATGACCTTGGTAATGCAGTTGTTGACACTGGAGAACTCGTTGATGATGATGATGACGATGATAATTTACTTGCGTCATTTACAATTGCTTCTAAAATTAAAAATAGTAAAAAACACTTCATTTTTTTCCAAGTAAGTTATATGCAAGAACACGTTACCTTTCGTTTGAGGTTCTTGATTTATTCCTTGATTATCATCACTGACATCAACTTCAATTTCTGAATCATTATCATCCTCTGTTATTCGACTCGAAGAAACGATTTCTGTTGATTGCTGTTTCTCTACTGATGACTTTTCTAAGATTGTTGTTGATGAAAGCGTCGGTGGTGATGATGATGAAGAGGAGGAAGAACATGAACCCGATGGTACATGAGGTGATGTTGATTTAAAATCTCTCGTATTATTATTTCTGGAATGTGTATGAGATGATGAATGAAGTTGTGGAGATGATGAATAAGATCGATTTGTTTGAAACATATCGTGTTGAGAATAATGTAGTGTATGTTCATAATTTGATGAGAGTGGTACAAATGCACTTGTATGCGGTATGGATGATGGAAACAAATGATCATTGACTAGTAGTTGTGGTTTTTGTAATGAATATGAACGTGAGAATAATGAATGCGAGAGATGAGGCGATGGTACTTGTGGAACAAGTGCAGGCGATAAATCAAATTGATGTTGTGGATGTATGGGTTTTAATGGTGCTACGGCAAATAATGAATTTGTTCCATTTATTCGGTGATAATAATCGGTCATACTCAAAACAGAAGGCATATTTTGTAATGAATGATGTGATGGTGAAGAATATTGATGATGTAAATTATTGCTAAAACGTTGTAAATGTGGTTCTCTCATTTGTGACAAATGTTTTGAACAATAACCATGTCTTTGTGATTCTTTTTGACAATTTTCAACACCACATAAACGTCTCCATTGTTTTCCATTAAATTTTTTACGTATACCACTTGACATTTCAAATATATCACCTTTTTGATAATTTTGCTGAGTCGGTTGTTGTTTTGAATGTTGTTGGTCAATTTCTTGTAAATCTTCATTTGATGTATCATCGTTTAATGGTGGAGGTGTTAAAAACGATGACTTTAAATAATCATTTGGTGTTGTTGGTGTTGATGGCACGGCACACGATGCAATCGATGATGTAGTACACGAGGATGAAGAAGATATTGAACGTAAACCAATGGTTGACTCAATAGAAGAATTAGGCTAAAAAATAATAGAAAACTGTATAACTCTCAAAATAAAGAAGAAGACGCGAAAAGACGTTATATCCCTAATACAGCAACTACATTTTAATCCTGATGTCTGTAGAAAAACAACAGAAACAAATCTAATAAAACTTTGTAGGACTAGAACGCATATTTCTCTTTCTGTGCCAGCAAATCTTAACTATAAATTAATCAAAATCTTAATTTGTTGACAAATTTTTTAGACGAAATATGTCCCCATTGTGACTATACAATATAAAAATACATTCATATCATGCATGAACAGACTAAAATAATTTATAAACTTCGAAAGGACGGGTGGCCTTTGTATTTTGAACTTACCTCATCATTTGTTAAATTTTGATTTAATTCTGTTGGTTTTTTTAATTTTTCTTCTACTTCTTCGTCATAGTCGCCGTCAATAATACTTTTGTCTTCTTGTATTGTTTTATTATTATCTACTACAGTTAATATATTTTCTCTAAATAACCTTAATTCTTCATGCCATGGTTCAATTAATAATCGAATATTTTGTCGTGTAAACCATCGTTGTTGTTGTTGTTCATCTTCGTCAATAAATTTTACTAAAAATTCTAGACGTGTTGGATGTTTTTCTTCAATAATTCCACATATAAAATAAGAATTTGTCGGTTTAATTCTTACACAAACTGGAGTATTTATTATTAAATCATTACATGCTGGTATATTATCTAAAATAACGATTGGTGTTGGTGATAAATTTTGTTTAAAAAAATCACAAAAGAATTTCATTTGTGATTTATTATTAATTGATTTTCGTAGTTCAATATCAATTATTGAACAATTAATGTCAATTATTGTTGACATATGGTAACGATGATCATAAAAAATTAAAACACTTTGATGTTTCCATTGTAATGGATCTAAAAAAAATGTGGAATTTGTCAGAGTTGTTTTATCATTGTTATCTATCACTGATGCTTCTATTGTTGCTGGTACTGCTGTTGATGATGATGATGATGACGACGATAATTGCCAACGTTTTTTTGGTTTTTCATTTTTGTTGCATGAAATGAATGACGGTGATGAACAAACAAACGTTGTAGGAGACGAAATTGACGACGATGAGGATGGCAATGATTCATTTTGATAATGAATCGGATATGGACAATTGGCCATCACTCGATGTCGTCTAGAACAACAAAAAACAAAGAGAATCGATTAATCAATGATATAAAAAATTTAAAATTAAATGAGACTTGTTTTCTACTTTACTAAATTTAATTTATCTAAATATTTTTTATTTATTTTATTTTTAAATAAAGTAATATATACACATATATCCATCTCATTTTTTTCTCCCTTCATTTTCACTTATACTTTAAAAAACCCAAAATCAAGTTTCATAGTTGACATTTCACATGTTTTTTCCTTTTATTTTTTCACTCTCTTTCAAGAAAATATCATTATACACATCCGTTTATCAAATATAAACATAAATAAAGCGAGAGTGAGAAAGAGTGAGACTATAGATATGTTGTCTATATTCATTGATACAAAAACACGAATACACAAAACATTGCTAGATTGTCGATGATGTGAAGATCAAATGGAAAAGAAGAGAAGAAGATGAAGAAGAAGAAAAAAAAACAAGAGATACAAACCATATGTTATGAAGTGTATAGGAAAATATTAGATGAAATTATATGCAATAACAAAAATACATATATTTCAAAAATTATTTTGTCTCATCTACTTATCGAACTAAAATATGATAATAGTGATTGTTTAAAATGTTAACGTGTCTTGCATATTGAAGTCTGATTTAAAAAATATTTTATTGTCTAATAAGAAAAAGTACCGAAAGTATACGATGACAATATTCAAACTATTCAAATGATTGTAAACTATGTAAATCGTAGATCAAGGTTTCATATAAACATACGCGATTTTAAAAATGTTGATCCGTAATATTAAATAATCTCACACACCCTCCTACGTATATATATATATTTTTTTTTTCTTTTTGCTGTTGTTGTTATTCTTATCTCAAAAAGTGGGTAATCTATTAGTATATGTGGTCTTTTTCATGATATTTTTGAAAATAACACTCTGACCGCACGAATATTTTTACAAATTGAACACGTCATAAAATATGTACGAATACGTCATTTTAAAACTTTGATATACTAATTGTCAAAGAATAAAGTTAAATTGAGAAAAAATGACGTTAAAATAAGTAGTAAAAAATATTAGAAACAAAACATTGACGATCGTTAATTTACTAGAATAAACAGTATATATATATATATTTGTTAATAAAAAAATAAACATTTCAATAAATTATGTTGTCTATTTCAATGTGATGTGCTTACTATCGTTATTTTAAAATTTCTATTGTAGTTATATATCAATAAATCTGTGTTAAGTGAAATGAAATAAAAAGGAACTTACAATATTATAGTATAGTTGCAAGACAATTACATATCTTTCATCGAATATTTGTGCACACGATGTGTAAGACGATAGTTTGTCTATAATAATATTTTTGTTCTTTTCTGCTATGCGTACGCATAAAAGAAGAGAGAGAAAAAAGAAAAAAAAGAGTAAATATTTATAGTTCTGGTATATTTTTTCTGTTATCATTACCATAGCTTCCTTCCCAGTTTACTCATTTATGTCTATTTATTTTGTTTGCTTGATAATACTTCAGTATACTTTACAATTTTTTAACAAATATAATGTTGATGTCGCGTTCAATTCATAAGATAATTCGTAAAATATCTTCAAAATTGTATAATTTTAACAGCAAAAAATTTTTTTTCTTCTCCAGCTGTTAAACAAATCGAGTTTATTTTATTCTATGACGATATAAAGTTGTATTCTTCTATAACTCTATGGTATGGCATAGTAAAATATGGTAAAAAACAAAAAATTACTCAACACTATTAAATTAGAAGGTCATTTGTTGTTTTTTGTTACAGGATCATTTAGAAGAGAGAAAATGTGCATTTATATTTTGAACGTTATGACCTTTAAAAGACATAAATTCTATTTATTTTAATCTACATCTTTAAAAAAATAAAAAATAAAAAATATGTAAAGAAAAAAAACATTCTATGACGTATTGACTATTGAAAAAGTGAGTAGTTTTTATTAATAGACAATCTATATGTATCAGCTGAGAGCGAGTGTATCGTAAACGTTATTTTTTTAATTTCCTGTTATTTTTTTTTTCTTCTTCTTCTTCTTCTTCTTCAGATATATTGTTTGTCTAATAACGAATATGAGTGCTCTTTTACATATGTTGTCACGATGGCGTACTATAGAATAATAAAAAAAAACATTCGTGTTAAAATAGAGAAAGAGCTTCTTGAAAAAGAAAATGAATAGTATTATCTTAATTAAAAAATTTGAAATACTTTGTACACATTGTATTCTAATTATAATAATAATCAAATAACAGTGATATTGACTATATGAAAGATAAAAATGATACTATTTACAGATCAATGAGCTTGATTATATAAAAAAAAGAAGCCGACAACATGATATGTTTCTCTAGTTAAGTCAATAGTCTTAATTACTTGTCTTTAAAATGATTGTAAATACGAAAATTATTCTTAACGCCTCACAATCATCTTACCCAAAACATGACAAAAGAACATAGATTTTTTTAACATAAATTAAGTACAAAGAAAGAGATAAAATTTTTTTTATAGATTTTTGAAAATTAAGTTTTTTGCAAACAAAAAATAAAATATAAGTTATCAAGTTTTATGAATGATTCCTATATTTTATAAACATTTATTTTCTTAGATTTTTGTTTTAAACTTGATATTCTTTGTTATATTTAATCAAAATGATATATTATCAAAATTGATTACATGTACATATACATCACACACTATTCAATGTTAGATTTCCTCTTTAATAATCATATGAAAAATAATAAGCAACATAGACATAAATTATTGTTTTCATACTGTGTGTGTGTGTGTGTCTCTATGATTGACATACGGTTTGTGTTTTTTTTACAATTGTTTGTACAAATGCGTTTATTTTTTATGTCCCATGGCGTAGGAGCTATAAATAATGAAATATTTAAACTACTAGAGGGTATAAAAAAGAAAAATGAAAATTTTATAATAACTTGTTGAGTCTTCTATTTTATCTTTTTTTTTTGCATACACTCGATTCACATTCTTTTCTTGAGGTTTTTCGCTTACATTCTGAACTAAAAAACCATATATACATATATATATTACATTAAATAGATAAGTAATTACATCCAACTATTTTCAAAAATAAAAAGATATTTTTCTTATCAAAAAAAATGAGTCATTAGTCATTTTTCATATGTTTTTAGATAAAATTATCATAAAAACAGCTGCAAAAGGTGCCTGCTCTAGTTTGTTTTCTAGATAGATAAAAACATCTGGTTATATAACAACAAAGTCATCATGACTTATACATAAAAAATAGAATAGAATTATAGTATTCATTTATTAAAATATTGAAAAACAAAACATTAACTTTAACTTTTGGAATCTATGTTACTTATTTGATATTGTTCTGTTTTACGGTAGGTAATATGAAGTCAAAAAAAAATAGATGAAACAAGTACACGAAATTACATAAATGATTAAATAACATACAATATTTCTCTCATATTAAAGCAATAAATACCTTCACGAATTAAAATCACAGATTCATCTTATATTATCTTCATTAGCCAGTATAGTAAAATGAAAAGAAATAAATGAGATAGTTTCTCTTTTTCAAGTAGGTAGAGTAAATCGAAAGATTTATTGTTTTTCAACAAAAAAAAGTCTTCTTTCTTCTATACATGGCCATTTTACTGTTTAAAAAGATACACGCCTTTTCAGAAGACATTTTATTTAGGTCTTAAAAATGCTCATGAAATAAACTTTTCACGCACAGATTCGATAACAGTATATAACAACAGTTTCTAATAAAGTTGTTCCATTGAAGATGTGAACAAAACACAAAAAGAATAGTTTTAAATCTAATAACTAGCAGTTGAAAGATTTTAAACAAGTATGTTCTTTTCATTCGAATTCTTAAAGACATTGCGTAATATATATTCATCATGATTACAGCTGTACTCAAGCGTCAACTTTACTAATGATAATGACTAACGCTGTTGTGTAGCGGTATACACCCAATATTTTAGATATAGCTAAATATCAACTGCTAGACTGCATATCATATATACCATATAGTGTAAAGGTTAAGAACAAGGAAGCTACCTATAGAACCGCAGTTGTTTTCTATACTCTGACTCAAAAAACAAACAACATGTGCAAAAAGAGATATCTTTTATTTGGTAGACTTCTAATTACGAACGTTAAAAAAGTTGCATTTTAAAAAGAGATGCTGTATCAACATGAATGTAGAGTAGCCGGGGAAAATTATGATCAGGATAAAAAAATTTCTTAGTATTCTTGAAGCTCTACAGCTATTTTTCACCAAAAAAAAAGGGATATTTCACAGATAGGTTGAGCTGCATCTTACCTATCGATCGATGTAAAAATTATCTTAAAAGTCATTAGCGCTAATTAGTACTAATCAATTTCCAGTGAGGAGGTATCGACTGATCATAATTACCCCAAATGGGATCAGTACAGCCAAAATGGCTGGAATAAACTTAAACAGCTTCGTTTCAACGGAGAATTTTAAGCAAATAAATTAAAAATTAGTTCATTTTGTAGAGAATTCTTAGTTCTATTTCTCATGTGAATTGCACATCATTCGAACTTGACCTGGATTACTTAATGAGAAATTACAAAAATTAAAAAAGATAGTCATTTTCTGTATATATATGCTTTGAGGTAATTATGATCACTCTACTATTTTTTTATGGGGTAATTATGATCAAAAAGTTTTTTAATAAAATTTTTAATTTAAAAACGCATAACGTCAATCGTCCCATTTGTAAATAACTACTGCTATCCTCTATACACTTATATGCGATTAGTATTTTTATCATTTCAACTTGTATATGGATTAAATAGCATCTTATTTCAATCATTAGTAAAACAAGCATTCTTTTTTGAGAAATTATTTGTTATTTTTCAAGTTTTTGAGAAACGCTTATGCTTCCGACATCATTTTTGTGTCATTAGGTATGTTGTGTGTTGTGTTTCAAGGGGGAC